CACACACAAGACCACGAAAATAAGCTTCAAGATGGGTCCTTTCTTTACAAAGCTCATTACTTGGAGCATCAACAACTCATGAAATGGTTCCTACACCACCCAAACTCAGACGCAGCACCCCAAACCCTTTACACAGCAGCCACAACTCAAAGAATGGCATCTTTCTCCCTCACCAATCACACACCCAAGTGTTTACAATATTTTGGAGAATGAATCAAAGAGAAATGATGAGTTTTGCTTGAGTTCTCAAGAGGAAGAAGGAAGGTGGCAAGGTGGAGGCTCAATATCAAGGGAGGCACTTAGGTAGTGTAATCTGACCTAGGTTAATGTGCCCTCCACGATATATAGGTGCATTAAGTTAAATCCCATTGTATTAGCACTAATCGGTCCGCTAATTATTTTAATCTCAAACTTCATATTCAGATAACGAGGATAGTATCAACCTCAGAGACCTGTGTAGCTAAAGCAAAGAAAGTTTGCTGATAAAAAAAAGTGACATTAGCAGATACGATATGATAGGTAAGAAAAGGCGGTGAGTCAGTAAGGGTCAAATCCGCTGGAGGCGCAGGCTGACGACGCTGATAGGTAAGAAAAGGACGGTCCTCAAGGATGGAGGCAAGGGGTAGCTCCTCCAGAATAGAGTCACCTGCAACTGGTAAAGACAAATCAAGACAAGAAAGAGGAAGAATATGATCAACTTGTGTTATCTGAGACGGGATAGAATGAAAAGGTTGTTGATCAAGGAAAGTGACATCAGCTGAAACAATATAACACTTGAGATTAGGAGAGTAGCAACGATACTCCTTTTGGAAACGAGTGTATCCAAGGAAAACACACTTGAAAGCTTTGGATGTTAACTTATCTTTTCCTGGAGTAAGATCATGAACAAAGCAGGTACATCCAAATACATGTGGAGGTAGAGGATAAGAAGGTGCTCCTGGAAATAAAATACTATATGGAACTTCATTATTAAGTATGGAAGAGGGCATGCGATTGATGAGAAAGCAAGAGGTGATTATAGCATCTGCCCAAAAACGGAGTCGAACATTCATATGAATTAGTAGGGTACGTGCAGTTTCAACCAGATGTCTATTTTTACGTTCGGCCACTCCATTTTGTTGTGGAGTGTGTGGGCAAGTGGTCTGGTGTAACGTCTCACGTTTCACCAAAAAATTAGAAAATTCAAGGGCCACATATTCTTTTGCATTATCACTGCGCAAGATTTGAATAGAAGCACCAAATCGAGTAGTTATTTCAGCACAATTTTTGATAAATTGAAAATAATTCAGAACAATTTTTCATTAAATAAACCCAAGTACAACGAGAGAAATCATCAATAAAGGTGACAAAATACTGAAAACCCAAAACAGACATTGTTCGACTCGGACCCCAAATGTTAGAATGAACAATAGAAAAGGGAGCGTCAGCTCTTTTATTGACTCTATTAGCAAAGGAGGAGCTAGTGTGCTTTCCTTGCTGACAAGACTGACACTTTAAAGACTTTGGACTAGATAAAAAAAGGAACCATATGCTGAAGCTTGGAGAGGCTTCGATGACCCAGACGACTGTGAATTAGCTTAGGAGACTCTGTGAGAGAACATGCTACTGGAGAAGGTGGTGTAATCAGATAGTAGAGACCTCGTGACTCAATGCCCGCTCCAACTTAAAAGTCGGAATGTGTATTGTATTCAATAGTGTATTAATCTAATACAAAGAGTCACAATATATAGAGACCCTAATGGGCTTAAGTGAGAAGCCCATAATATTTACAGATAGGAAGCAATCTAATCAAATCTAATCATATCTAATCTAATATTTCTAACATATAGATAGCCAAGCCAATTCTATACAATCAACTCACACCATGGGAGGGGGGAGAGAGAAAGAGAGAGAGAGAGAGAGAGAAAGCAACGTCAGTGTTAATAAAAGGGAAGAAGAAGAGACTCACCGCCACACTCATGCTTGTATATTATTATAATCAATGCTTTAAGTAATTAATAAATCCATGAATAATATAAAAATATATATAATATGAATTTTTTTTGCATAGTTCAAATGTATATATATATATATATAACACGTAATAATAAAAAAATTATATATTATTTTAGTCATTAATTAGCTTAAATTTAATAACTTATATAATTAATACATTAAAATCATTCTATATAAATTAAAACAAAGATTAAAATTGACATTCTTATAAAATAAGCATGTTTGTGGGTTTTGGTTTTATATCTGTTGGATATATATTTTATTTTTAATACGTTAGTAAACTCTTACGTTTCGTTTACGTTTTGCGATTTTACGTTTTTGCTCACCCCTACCGTTTTTACATAGACCCTACGTTTTAACAACATTGATGAGGAGACCTTAAGCCAAAGAAAGGCTACACAGTCTACAATCGGAATAGACACAACAAGGGCAGAGGATGCTAACTCCTTATGAGTAAGATCAGTAGAGCTCAGCTTGCCATTTTTTGCCCTGAATTATTCCTCCAAATGTCCCAATTTATGATAAAAATAACATCGAGGTAAGTTACCACCGCAACTACGGTTACTATAGCATGAAACATGATTGTGGTCTCCTATTGCGACTTACAAGGTGAAAAGAGCATTGGAAACATATAAAATCAAAGGAAAAAGGGTCAGAACCCACAAAACACTCAAAAAGTGACCGAAAAGCAACAAGTCAATAAGAGGAATAGTAGCCAAAAATGATGACGGTTCGCAGAAAAATTTCAAACAGCCTGGACCTATGAAAAATCGAGCCTAGATCTGAGTAGAGAAAAAAAAAGTTAGTTTGTGGTGGTCCGATCGAGAACGACCATCAAATGGTAGCTCACACGTAGGTGAAAGGAAAACTGGCCTCTAGATGTTTGTGACGCATAGAGCCTTCGATCAAGGCACTACATGGACAAAGGTAGGTGCCAGAGGGAGGCAATTCTGATCGTGTGGTCGCAGGTTGAAAAATTGTCGGGCGGTAGCAGGTTGTCACAGCGAAAGGTGGAGCATGACCGGACAGTGATGGAACAGTCGCTATGGCGGTGGAGAAGTCCCATACTAATGAAGATGTGCCAGTAGGACGCCAGGCAATGACAGCTTGGCGATATGATAATCGGAAAGGAAGATGGCCGCTAGGCAATGGACCTAGCCGGATTAGGGTTTTGCGAAAGGGATTAGGGTGTTACCAAAGCAATGTGTCCTAGAATGTAAGCTCTAGTACCAACTTCAAATTGAGAGTTAAGAACCTTGAGGTCATCACCCCAAAAGCTAGCTCAAAAGGTGGGAGTGCCTAAGGTCTTATAAACTCCACATTAGTTGCACATACAACCAATGTGGGACTATATATCTCAACACACCCCCTCACACGAGAGCCCATTGGGCTTGAAGAGTGGACAATACAACAGGCCCAGCCTACCTGTGCTAAGAAACGCAACAAGAGAAAGTGGGGGGCGGCGAAGCTCTGATACCAAGTTAAGAACCTTGAGGTCACCACCCCAAAAGCTAGCTCAAAGGGTGGGAGTGCCTAAGGTCTTATAATATTAGCAGTTATACTTAGGCAGATTAGCAGTTGCAATATCATATCATGTGCCACATTGAATTGTGGAAACTAAGTGGGACAAGCCAACAACCTTGTCTCTGGTTTTATACTTGCTTGTTTTCAATACAAGCTCAGCACCAAGTATAAATTCACCAAAACATAACAAAGTGCAGAATGTAACAGACTGAAAGGGATTATTATATATATATGCCAATAGACTTAGCTCCCCAGAACAGTTATTGTAGAAAATCAGAATTCAAATTCAAATATTTTCCGTTTTTATTCCCTATTAATTAGGAATAATTAAGATTAATTAGGATTGATTGTTTTTTATTTCCTATTAATTAGGATTAATTGTAATTAATTAGAATTAATTGCATTTGCTGTAAAAAGAGGGCAATATGGTGATATAAAGTTCTCGCGCTATGCAGGTCCTGCGAATGGCAACCCATTATGTGGGTTTCTTGTAGGTAACCTTACCTTGCATTAGGCTCAGAGGCTCATTAGAAGATTTGAGCCTGTGACCCAGACTATGACCTCTGGTTCACATGGCGAGAATAAAAGAGTTGTGAAAACAAAAAACAACCAAACAAACAAAGATGCTCGGGCCAGATGATTTACACTACCAATTCTGCTCACAATAGCACCGCAATGCAAGCAACACCTATAGCTAAAGGTGAGTTTGTGGGGAAAGAAAAAGGAAGGAAAATTTTCATTTTAAGTTAACAGTCTCTTACTTGAGATTGTTTAAAAGATTATTACCCAACATTTATATATTTATGTGTGTAGAGTCTGTAAACTCCTACACACGCATAAAAAATATGTGGAGTCCATATTTTCTTTTCTCTCTCTTCTCTTTTTATGCCCCACACACAAATTATATATATACATATAGGGACAGGATCCTTTGACACCTCATCTGAGAGCCGTTAGATAAAAAAAAATCAATGGTATTACATGCTTACAGATGAGGTGTCAAACTTTAAATTTAATACCGGTGTCAAACGATCTTACCTCATATATTTATATATATATATATATATTTATGGTTTCAATTTTCTCGTACAAATAGGAAATCTCATGTTATAGACTCATATTATGTGGGATCCACATCTATTACACAAACAAAAGAAAATATTGCACAAAATCGAAGGGTCACTGGTTGAAGAGAAAACTCTCATACAACATAATAAACTATAACATGAGAAAATGTTTTCCAGTATATAAATATATGGGATAGGATATTGTGATACACAAATAATGTTACGCACAATGTTGCGACCACATCTTAACCGTTGATTTCCGTCAATCAACGATTATCATTTATTGCGAATTAATAATTAATTAATGAGTTTGATTTGAAAAATGATAACCGTTGATTGACGGAAATCAACGGTTAAGATGTGGTCGTAACATTATGCGTAACATTATTTATGTGTCACAATATCCTATGCCTAAATATATTTGGAAATGAAAGTTTAACCTTCCCCCCACAACTCCAATATCCAAACACATACTAAAGCAAAATCAGAAAGCATACTGTGTATCTCCAACGTCTTCAATCTCGACGAGACTATTCTGAGACGAATCGCCAGCTTTCTTCAAAGTATCACCCACCATAATTATCCTCGACCTCTCCACATTACCCTACAATAACACGAATAAGAAAACAAAATAATCAAACGAAAGAGATTTTTTTGGTAATTGGAACATAGGCAGGTTACTCCTTTGGTGAGAGAGTGGACGATGATTTTGCCGTCGGCGGTGAGAGCGAATCGGATGCCGAGGGGCTTCTCGAGAGTGACGAGGTACTCGTTGAGATTCATCTTGAATGCAGAGTCACCAGACATCGCGAAAACCCTAAGAGTGAGGGTTCCCATAGTGGACCGAAGAAGGTATAGCTTCTTGTTGTTGTTGTTGCTGCTGTTTTTAAGGTTGAAGAGAGAACGAGATGTGGGACAGAAGGAACAAGTGTTGGTGCTGCTCAGCAATAGCGATGAGGTATGAGGATGAGTGGTGAGTTGAAGTGGAAGCATTGTTATTATGGTTATGGCTATGAAGAAATTGAATTGAAGCTAAGATTTGTTATGGTTATGGTTGTTGTTATGGAAGCAGAGCTTATGACATGAGAGTCACTTTTTCCTTTTTTTTTTTTTTTTTTTTTTTTTTTTAAGGCGACTCAAAAAGTTGAACCCATAGAGATACCAAAAATTCTGATTCGCCTCAAAGATGTAATTAACATCAAATTCCAAAAAAAAAATCAAAACTTTCATTACTTATTTTTTTCAATTTCTCATTCACACTCGCTCTCTACTTACTTCTATCTTTTTCTAATTCACAAAATTATGTTTGTGGGTAATTTTGATGCAAGTTATTAATATTTACCTTTTAAGGTGAGTCCCTTGCTGCTTTTCTTTCCAATGAAAAATAAATTGCGGTATATATTAATATTTTATTATATTATCATACGAATTTCATTATATACTTTTTATTTTATACTTTTCTTTTTCTGTATTTTTTCATTAAATGCATTTTTTAATTATTCATTTTTACTCATAAATATAAACTAATTAATGGCAAACAAATTCAACACACCACATATTCAATCATATATATATAATATATATATATGGAAAAAATGTTTGTGCAGTTAATGCAGATAAATTATCTACATTTATTTCTAGAACGACGTCGTTTTGATATTGAAATCTTAAAAAATAAATATAAAGACTATTATAACCCTGAAAAAATTAAAATTACAAAAACATCATGATTTCCGCCCCAAAATGACGTCGTATTGGACTTACTGCAAATAATTTATCTGCAGTAACTGCAGAAAAAGCGAACCCTATATATATATGGAAAAATATTTCTCAAGTAGCTAGAGATAACTTTATCTCCGGCCACCTCAAAACTACGTCGTTTTATTTATTTATTTCCTTATAATAATTGATTCACCTTTGAATGGTTATGATTTCCTTTTTCTCTCTCTTCCTTTATCACCATTGATCCATCTTTATACGGTTATGATTTAGTAGCCGAAAATAAAATTATCTCAAGTAACTTGAAAAACGATAAGCATATATATATATATATATATATATATATATATATATATATATATATATGAGTTTGTGTTTTGTATCACTTAGTCTCATCATCTAATTATTTCTCCATGGTTCTGTGGTTTATTTATTTCTTCTAGTCTTTAGAAAATGGCTTAATCCACGAAACTTAATGTTGAAATTATTATTTTTTTGCTTAAAACTCTTTTCATTTTGGTAGAAGTTTATGCTTGATACTTGAAGGACCTCTACTTATGGTTATAATTTTATAAATCTTTATAATTGAAGGTTAAATTCTATTATTGTGTGAGAATCTACACCCTCCGACAAGAGTTTTATGTTCAGCATCATCACAAAAATATCACTTTTTCAATTCTTTGTTTTGTTGGGTTTGCTCTTTTACTAAAGCCCAAATGGGCTATTAGTATGAGAAGAGCCCAAGAAACCTAAAGCCCAATGAGCAAGGGTTTCTTGGAACCCATATAAATAGTACCACTTAAGTCATCAGCCTCCTGAGGTCTTTTGTGAGAAAGAGGCAAGCTCAGATCTGATTAGTGCCCACACACTTCCCCTTCCTCCTCGAGAGATAGCTTGGAAGGTTTACCTCAACAGTTCGTGAGTTCATGTTGTGATGCAAAGGGCTCAAGCGTGAGGAACAAGATCATCTCAAATCTTTGCCATTAAAGAGGTAAATGATAAAACCATGATGATCCATATATATCCAAATCACAATGGTCTCATACGCTTCTGCAGATGCAATTGCTCCTACAGTTGGTATCAGAGCCGAATTGTGTGTTTTTTGGATGTGGATCTAGTTTTAATTTTACGTTTATCATGTAATTTGTTTTGCTTCGTAAAATATGGCACCTAGGATTCTATATTTTTTATTCAAATATTTGCATGAGTATTCTTTTCATTAAAAATCTACTCTTTATATGGTTTTGGCTTTAATCCATGGTAGAAATTTTCTTGTATTTTCTTGGTTTGTAACAAGGAGGCTAATCTCATATGATTAGGATTCCTCCTTGATTTTTTATTTCAATTTTGTATTTTTTTCAATTTGTATTCCAAAATTGGAATAAAGAAGATCAAGAAGATGAGAAAGAAGTGTGTTTGACACTGTTTTGACACGTTCGTGACCCTCGGTGGCCGAAGGAGCAATCAGCCGCAAAGTTTTCTATTTGATTACTCTGTAATTTTATTTTTTTAGGAAACCATGGATTAAGGTTTTTTTTATTATAATTAATTGTCTTAATTGTATGATTGGATGCTTTATATGATTTGATAACATGCTTTATTGCGATAACATGCCATATAGAATAGGTGGTGCCATATTGTTGCATAACTTGTATGATTACATGAGCATAATAGCTATTATGTATTCAGCGACTAGTATAATAGTTATTATGGGATTATTTTGATTTTAAATTATCCTAAAAAATTAATTAAAATTATTATGATTTTTGTTAAAAATCTAGATTAATAATTGAATTAAGTAATTTTGGATAATTAACATCAAGACAAATAATCGTTATGGAAATTATTTTGATTTTAAATTATCCTTATGAATGATAATTATTATGATTGTTGAAATCTAGATTAATAATTAAATCAGTTATTTGGATGATTTAAAAATTAAGAAAAATTTCTAAGAGAATTCTTTTATATGCGAGTAATTTGTGGGTCTACTAAAATGGTCATGTGTTAAACACACGCTCCATACCACAATCATGTATCATGATTGTGTGAAGCATATGCTGCCTATCATGACCGGATCTTAGGACCTTAATGATTTCAAAATTCAGATAAGCTAAGTGATGCACGTTCATCGGCGTTCTTGCTTACATAGTTTTTGAAATCAAACAAAGAATACTCTTAATTAAATAATTCTTGGAAATTGGAAAAATTGCTTATGTTGAATAAAAAGAGATTTAAATTAAGAAATTAATTTAACCTTCAAGCGCGTTATAAGACCATTAATAAAATAATCATGTGAAGTCTCATTGAATAAGCATGATTGGATTTTATTAGATTGAACCTAAATAATTATGGGAGGAGATTTAAATTAAGAAATTAATTTAACCTCCAAGCGCATTGTGGGCCTATCAATAAAATAATCATGTGAGGCCCCAACGGATAAGCATGATTAGATTTTATTGAGCCTTAATAATTTCAAAATTTTAATAAAGTATTGTACAGCCCAACGTTGATAATACAAAGTTATTAAAGAAAATTTTGAAATTAAACAATAAATTCAATAGAGCTTATAAAAATTTTCAAGTAAAAATATTGAATGGGTGAAGGTTTTAAATTAAGTATTTAATTTTAAAAACATGTGGGCTCCATTTGTGGATCCATTAATAAAATGGTCTTGTGAAGCCCCGTCGGATAAGCATGATCTGATTTTATTTGATTGGACCTTAATAATTTCAAAATTTTAGTTAGATATTCTACCTCGTCGTTGGCAATATTTAGAAACTAAAGACAATTTTGAAATTAAACAATGGTTAATTACATACAAATTTGGTAAAGTTATTAACCCTCCCATCGAGGCTCTGATAATGGCACCGAAGGCTCAAATAACAATTTTAGTTTTTACAAGTATCTTGCCCGTCGTAAGCTTGTAAAGATAAACTAAAGGATTGTTAACAATAAACAAGAATAGTTATGAGAATCTACTTGTACTTCGTTTGTTTATTGCATTATTTGTTTGTAATTGTGTACTTTATATGTTTTTCAGAAAATGACTTCCTTCAATCCTTTAGCCATGATTTTGAGTCAAAAACCTCTAGATGGTACAAACTATGAAGAATGGAAAAAGAATCTTGATATTGTTCTTAAACATGAAAAGCTGAAATTTGTCCTTACCGTACCAAAGCCATGGCAACCTGTAGAGAATGCATATAAGGAAACTAAGATGCATTTCTCAGATTGGGAAAGGGCAGATATGGTAGTTCCCTGCTATATTATTGTCAGTCTTTCCAAATACTTGCAGAAGCAAGTGTACATGATTAAGAGTGGAGTAGAAATGCTTCAGACTCTTAATGATATGTTTGCTGCGTCTAGCAGTTCTACTAGACAGAATGCAGTCAGTGCAAGTTTTGGTAAGTATCTTGTTAAATCCAAAGGGAAACCCAAGGGTGGTAACAAGAACAAAATGACTTGGTTATCAGTTGTCAAACCAATTGCAATAAAGAAGTTCAAAGGCAAGTGCTTCAAGTGCGGACTGAAGGGACACTGTATGAAAGATTGCCCAGGGGTGATGAAAAGAAAAAGGTAAGGGTAATTTAAAAGGCTAAATTAGTGGATGAATCTATGATTCAAGAACTACTAACTATGTTTGTTGCTCTTTGCAGTGGTTCAAGCATAGAGGGCCTATTACCATTGGACAAAGATATTTTAAGCTTGAAGATGGGGAGCTTGTGTCTACATTAGCAGTAGAACAAGTTATATTATCTTTTTATGACTTTAGTTTTGGATGACTGTTTATTTATTCCGGATTTTAAGAGGAATTTTATTTTTGTTAGTTGTTTTGTGGAAACATGATTTAACAGTACAATTTAATTCCTCAGTTTCAATAAGGAGTTCATCTTCTTTTATTCCGGTATATTAAATTGTCTTTATTACTTGAGTTATATATCCCATTTAATTTATTATGTTGAATGGAAAGGATGAAGAACAAGGATTTTCACCAAAGAAATAAAAGTTTCAAATGAAACATAACTGGCCTTTGTGATTGAGTCACATAACCTCAAGTAGAAAACATGTTTTAGGTAAAAGAGAGACTGAAAGTAGGGGTGTGCATGGGTCAGGTCAGTTTAGGTTTTTGTGCCGACTCGACCCAACTTGATTTTTATAGGGCAGGTATTTTGACCCGACCCACTTTAATTTGATCCAAGTCAGGTCAGACTTCGTTTGGATTTTTTTTGGACTAGTTCAGAACCAGGTCAGATCTGACCTGACTTGGTTTCTGAAGTGGGTCTGACTTTGTTTCTGAAGTGGGT